TTCCCTCGAGAGCCACTCTGGGCGTGCTTACAACAAGCAGAATTATTAAAAACAATAAAGATAAGTCATTCAACATTAAAAAACTTCCCTAACCAGACTGCCTTCAGAGGTTCTTCTAAAAGTCAGATAGTTTGTTTATTCCTTGACATCTGATTGGGAGGGTGTTCCACACGGCAAGAAGAGGAGTAGCAACACCACCGAGAGTAAGGCCCACTGCCTGGTTCCCTGTTAGCCTCGCTTCTCGCAGGGGAGGGAACTCCAGAAGGCACACATCGGAGCTGGGACCTCCGTGTCCGGGCTTGAACGAAATAATGGTGGTGGCGACCGCTCGCTTACATTAGGATTTATGATAATCAGCTATGGTCGCAGAAGAAGCACAAGACTATTAAGAGGCATTTCTTTGAGGTCAGCACTGACACTACTGAATTGGGCTTACAGAAAAGCGTACTCGGAGAGCCAACTGAAGGTCGTGTACAGGACCGAGTAGTGTATGTGAGTCTACGGCTGCCAGCTCCACCCAGATTTCCCTTCTCTTTCCCTCTTGCCAGGAATGGAGGTGCTGTCCTGCCAGACTCGGAGAGCAGCAGCTGAGTGTGTGCGAGTTTGCCCACAGGGGATTTGCTGGAGAGCTAGTGCGCAACACCCCACGGGCCCTACCTGCTGCCATCCCAGGTGAGATCCCTCCACCAGTGGCTTGTCCTGTTCATGGTGGACGCATCACGTGAGGGCAGGACAAGGGAGCCTGCGGGCGTCCTTTTAGGAGGAAGGGGCCGTGGCTCAGCGCCACGTTTCAATTTGCTTGCATGCAGAAGGCCCCAGGTTCACGGTCCTCAGCAGTATCTTCTGGTAGGGCTGAAACCTTTAGGAGGCCACTGCCAGAGGAGACAAGGGCTGAATTTTTATTATTAGGAAATTGTTTTGTTTTAAGACGTCGTTTTAATATGGACTTCTTTATATGAATTTAATTTTCATTTTTTCAAGTAAATAATAAAAAAAGATAAAAAAGTGCACCCCACACTCGCCGGACCATTTCCTCAATGCAGAGCTCCCAAGGTCCAGCCTACCAAAATTTCAACATCTCTTGCGATGTTCCATTTCCATTTTAATGAGTACATAGATTCTACCACCTTCCATAATCTCCTCAAAGATCAGTTCTTCCTGCATATTCCCCGTCTTTACCTTTATCAGCAACGTAGCTTAATTTGGACAGTTAATGATGTAACATTTATGGTTAGTTAACCCCTAACCCTAACCACAATTTAGAGAGGCAGGAGTAATAGCAATTAATTAATGGGGCACAACTACTGAGCTAGATGGTTTGATTCTGGGGGTGGTCCTGCAGATTTGCAGTCTCCCCACTCTCCTTTTATACATGAAGCCGCAACTCTTGGATGCTGACGGTTAGAGGAACCTCAGTGCCTAGTTTCTCTATATGGCAGCTTCCGTGATAGTTCAGGGGGCGACAGGGAACCCTGACTCCCGGCCCTCTGCCTGTCAGCGATGCTGTCCGCGCGTTCCGGCCTGGCGTTCCCAGGGAAGTATAAAGACAAGGGAAAGTTCTTCTAACATCCTGTTTTCATTTTCTAAAATACTTTACAGAAAGGGCTATAGAACCCTGACCTCTTGATATGGGTGTTGTCCTGAGTGATTCTCCACCGCCCATCTCTCCAACAGCTTCCTCATTCCGTCCTCGTCATCACCTCTTGCTATGGGTGCTGCTACGTGCCCCTGTCTTTGAGCTCTTTGCTCCCCCTACTTTTTAAGCTTTGCCGTTGGTTCTGGGAGAATGGAGGGCTGGAATGCTCTCTAATGATCAGCTGTCACGCAGACCGAGCTGGTGTTTTCTCTCCATCTCACCGTATGCAGTTTCCCATCTTTTCCTCTTCAACATTGCCCTCTGACCTGCCAGACCACAGATCAATCATACTCGTCTATTCCGGCTATCTCTCCCTCCCTGGAAGGGTCAGGATTTGAGGCGGTCTCCTCTATTCCTTCTCTGCCCGTCTCTCTGACTACGTGCACCGCCCAGAGGTCTTACCAAATGACCCTCCCTTTCCCTCACAGAGGCCTGCGTTCCCGACGCCACCTGGGTGTACACCGAGCATACTCTGTAGGCTAAGGCTTATTTGACACTTGCGCTCCTCCTGGGAAATACGGAGAGCAAGTCATGGACGGTGAGTAGAGGGCGGAGCACGACGTGCCCCCCCCCCTGGCCAGGCAAAAGCAGCTGTAGCGAAGCGCTCCCAGGCTTTCAGGTTACAGACTCCGCTAACCAGAAATAGTACCTCAGGTTAGGAACTTTGCTTCAGGATGAGAACAGAAACCGTGCGGTGGCAGCAGGAGGCCCCATTAGCTAAAGTGGTACCTCAGGTTAAGAACAGTTTCAGGTTAAGAACGGACCTCCAGAATGAATTAAGTTCTTAACCCGAGGTACCACTGTATATATTTAAAGTAGATGAGTAAATGGGCAAAGTAAGTTAATTTGGATATGCAGAAGGTATTAAAAATAAATTTAAGAACAGCAGAATGAAGAGGGGAAAGGAAGTCAAGTTTTGAAATGTTAAAATGATTGTAAAATTAGTGAAATGTATAAATCTGAAAAGCAATAATAATAATAATAATAATAAATAATAATATAATGGATGGCTCTGGCCCGATCCAGAAGGTGGTTCTTCTATGTATGTCCTTGTGCCTTGCCAATGACTCTCCCTTTTCCTCTCCCTCTTGCCCAACAGTGAGCGTGGTCGATTTCTGCGGCCAGACCCTGCACGGGGATGGGATGGTGTTGACATCCCACCGAGACTCCCGCCGTTACTACTTTGTAGTGGCCAGCACAGACTGCCAGCTGACCATGCAAGCGGCAACCCCCAAAGACAAGGTCCAGTTCCAGTTCCGCTTCTTCCTGGTGTACAGCATGGTGCGCTCGCCTTCCAGCACGCTGGCCAGCAACGACCACCCCACTCTGGCACTTCCCAAGTCCAGAAGCGAGCGGGAGACCCCTGACCCTTGCACAGCAGGCTCCTACGTGCAATTCTACGATGGCCAAAACCACACCGCGAAGCCCCTGGGGATGCCGCTGTGCGGGAAGAACATCCCACGGCCCGTCACCTCCACAGGCAACTTCCTCACCTTGAGGCTCGTGACTCGCGGCCAGCAACCTCGTGTCGACTTTGTCGGTGACTTCACCTCCGTTCGAACTGGTAAGGCAGGAAGCCGCTGCAAATGAGCTGAGCAATGCCGCTCTATCTTATTTTAATTTAATTTTATTGTATTTATATTCCACTGCTTCTCCAAGGAGCTCAAGGTGGTGTGTGCCTCCTCATTTAATCCTCCCAATCCTAGAAGGTAGGTGAGCAACTGGGCTCCAAGGTCACCCAGGGAGTTTCATGTTGCCCAGTGGGGGGATTTGACTCTGGTCTCTCCTGGGTCCTAGTCCAACACTTGTAACCCTAAGGGTAAGGTGCAGGTGATGTGGACCACTGGGCTGCTGTCAGGGTAACGGGCGCTGTGGTCTAAACCACTGAGCTTCTTGGGCTTGCCGGTCAGAAGGTCAGCAGTTCAAATCCCAGCGACGGAGTGAGCTCCCATTGCTCTGTCCCAGCTCCTGCCAACCTAGCAGTTCGAAAGCACGCCAGTGCAAGTAGATAAATAGGTACCACTGTGGCAGGAAGGTAAACAGCGTTTCTGTGCACCCTGGTTCCCGTCATGGTGTTCTGTTGTGCCAAAAGTGGTTTAGTCCTGCTGGCCACATGACCCAGAAGCTGTCTGTAGACAAACGCTGGCTCCCTCAGCCTGAAAGCGAGAAAGAGTGCCACAACCCCATAGTCACCTTTGACTGGACTTAACCATCCAGGTGTCCTTTACCTGTACCTTTTTAAAATTTCAATGCTGGTGTTAAATGCATTTTAACTATTGTTTTAAGCTAGTTTGAGGAACATTCTAGGCAGTGCTTTTATCTAGGGATACTCAAAGGTACGCGGTACCAGCACCTCACTGTAACAACTTCGTGGTGAGTACTGGCCCCTTTTTTTCTATAAAAAAGCACTGATTACAGTGGTACCTTGGGTTACATACGCTTCAGGTTACATACGCTTCAGGTTACAGACTCTGCTAACCCAGAAATAGTATACCTCGGTTAAGAACTTTGCTTCAGGATGAGAACAGAATCGTGCACTACGGTGGCGCAGCAGAGCAGGCCCCATTAGCTAAAGTGGTGCTTCAGGTTAAGAACAGTTTCGGTTAAGAACAGACCTCAGAACGAATTAATTTCTTAACCCGAGGTACCACTGTATAGGTACATTAAAACAAGAAAACAGCAAAATCTGCCTTTCCCTCCCCTTGCAGGCTTGAACGCTTCGGCCTGCAGCATGGAGTCGTATTTTCCCTGCCACAATGGAAAAATGCATCCCTCCCAGCCTAGTCTGCGATGGCAGCAGTGTCGATAACTGTGGGGATGGTACAGACCAGGCTGCCCAGTCCCCAGCCTGGTGCAAAGGTTGGTGGCTGTAGAAGGAAGAGGGTGTGTATGTGCTGTTATAAGTAAAAAAAAAACCAAACTGCTCCTTTTCCCTTATGGGGTACCCAAGAGCCCATATAGAGTCCCTTTGCAGGTTCTCTATTGGTAGGAGAAAATAATAGAGGCCAACCAGAGAATATTGAGAAGCAAAGCAGCTAGTAAGCCTGATCTTTATTAACTGTTGCAACAGGGTGCTCCCCCACACGCAGGAGAGAGGAGGA